GGCAGAACTGGGGATTGAACTCAGGCCCTTCCACTTGCCAGGAAAGTGCTTATTGTACTGAGCCATTTCCCAGGCTCCTTTGTTTAGATTTTAGTTAGAAATTTTTTTTTTTTTGTTAGAAATTTTCATGTGTATGTAACTTGTTTTCATTTTTTATGAGAAGAAAGGTTAGTAGTGTCTAGTATGCAGTTAGCCTGACTCATCTTTCCCACAAATATATTTAGCACTGTCAAGAAAGTTGATAGCTTTTCTTACTCAGATTTCAGGCTTATAACATTAGATGCTTAATAACAGCTACTAAAAAGCTTAATGATATAAAATAGAATATAAATTGTTTGTTACACCTTTAGGACTTCTATAGACTACCTTGATTTAAGTCATTAATATCACATAAAACTTAGTGCACATTATGTTACAAATGGTTTTATACGCTGGGCATGGTGGTACAGGCCAGTTAGCCTAGTACTTGGGAAAGTAAAGCAGGAGGAGGATCACAAGTTCAGACTCAGCCTCTACTACACAGTAAGCAAGTTCCAAGTCAGCTTGGGCTACACAGTGAGACTCTGTCTCAAAAAATTATTTCTATTCACTATCCATCTGTGTTATAGTATTTCATATTATTAAAGATATTTTCAAGTAGAATGACATCTATCAACCATGGTGCTGATTTTCACCCAAAACTGTACTCCTCGAACTGTAACACTGAGGATTGTTCTAACTGTAGGAAATGACAAAATATTAGGTCTTTGACGTTATGTACCAGGCTGTCTGTTAGGTCTGTGGGAATATAAGGCCACATAAAGCACCATCTCTTGCCCTAAATGAGATTCTCTAATATAACAGAGGAGACAAACATGAGCATAGCTCATATGCTAGGATCATTCTAATATATAACATTGCTCACAGAGACTTGTATAAGTAAGTGTTGGAGTAATGCTGGATCGTTTTTAGATTTTGACATGACAACTTAATAAAAACTCTTTCTCCTAGATCTGTCTTTAAGCCTTTTATATTTGTGCCACATATTTCACAATTATTGGATACCTGTTCACCCACATTTGAACTTGAAGACCCAGTTAAAAAGAAGGCACAGTGTAAACCTGACAGAAGACATCCACTCTACCTGGAACAGCAACAGGCAAGGGATGCAATCGATAATAAGGTATGGCTAAGTTGTATTGTTTGTTGTATCTATAAGAATAGTTTAAAATGTGGTTAAATCTATATTTTGAACCTTGGAATATCAACTCTTTCTTCATGTAAAAAGATTTAGGAATTACTTAGATACACAGATCATAGGAGAACTATATTTTTTAATAACTTTGTTTAAAAAATGTGGGCTGTGATTCTTAAGGAAATTTAATATAGTAAACACAATAACAATAGCTAACATTTGTTGAGCACTTATTAACCATTTTTATGGATTATTTCATTTAACTTCATAACCATTTTATGAGGCAGGTACTGTTATTGTCCTCATTTTATTTGTAAGGAGTCTGAGGGTAGGAGAGGTTAAGTAAGGGAAAGGAGAGATAACAAGGAATTAAAGAGGTGT